AACCACTTATGCTATCAATTTTATTCTTTGTCTTTAATCTTGACATATTTTTTTGTCAGATTTTTATATCCTTGACAATTCTTTGAACAACTATGAGACCCATTCCATACTCTCTCCAAGACAACATCATCTTTGTTCTTTTTCATTCTCAAAAATCTTATGGCCACATTGCTTCTACAGTTAGTTGTAATAAAGCTACTATCTCTAGGCTAATAAAAAAATATCACTTTTAATAGAAAAAACCTTAAATTATATAGACCAAAAAAACTCATTATTATAGATAAAAGGACAATCATTTACCAAATCAACACTGAGAAGGCTAAAAATATTATTGAGGTTACTGAAAATCTTAATAATATTATTAATAATGATATGTCAATTCAAACTATTCAAAATATTTTCAAAAAAAGGAATATGAAAGTCATGGTAAAAGAGAAAAAACTACTATTATCTACTCGTTATTTGAAACGATGCTTGGATTTTGCTCTGGAATATAAAGAATGGACTAAGGAAGATTGAAAGAAGGTTATTTAGTCAGATAAAATAAAAATCAATAGATTTGGATCAGATAGCAGAAAGTGGGTATGAAAACAAAAGGGTCACTCTTTGCTTAACTATAAGATTTAAAAAATAGTTAAACATGGAAGTCAAAATATAATAGTATGGAGTTATATGAGATGAAATGGAATTGAGATAATGGCAGAGGTTGGAAGGAAGATGAATGCTAAGTAATTTGTGGAAATTCTTAAAAAAAACTTGCTTTCTAGGATTGAAGAATCTCGTATTTTTGAAGAGGAGGTGATTTTTTAACAAGATAACAATCTCAAGAATAACTCAAAACTAACATGGAAGTAGCTTGATCATCATAGGATTAAAGTAATGATTTGGCCTACTTAGTGTCTTGATCTTAATTCCATTAAACATCTTTGGAAGCACCTCAAATACCAATTCTAGACTTGGAAGATAAAACCAAAGAAAGTTTGAAAATTATAGAAAAGAATAGCTATAGAATGAAATAATATTAAAGCAATTTTATGCCAAAAGTTAATAGAAAGTATGCCTAGGAGGTTGGAAGCAGTTATCAAGGCCAAAGAGGGTCTTACAAAGTACTAATATGTAATTGGATACCACACTCAAAAAAATATTTCAATACTATTTCAAATTGAATTAGTCATAGCTCTATAATTACTTGATGGATTCTTTTTAATTTGGATTCATTTGGTAGCTCTAAAAGAATATTTTATTTTCTAAATAAAAAATTTATCATTTTTTAATATAATTCATCTAAAATATACTATTTTTTCTAAAATATGCCAACATTGAAATAGTTTTTTGAATTACTATATATGTGAATAAATTGATTTAATTACATCTACTAGAATCAATAAAGATTTATTCCATATTTCACATGTTTTTTTTTGAATCATATAAGATAGTGAAGATTGGATTTCATCTTCTATCCTTCATTATGATTTCTTTGTATTAGTAGCCCTAACAAAATAGAGAACCAACAGCTAGCAGATTTAATTCAAGAGCTATTATTTGTTGACTTACCAAACAAGACATAGCAATTGTTACAACCTTCAAAATGACATGGTAGAGATGAAGACCTTTTTAAAGGTGTTCTTTCTCAAATAAATGGAAAAATATAATATGTTTGGTATGACAACCTTAGAAGAGACTCCCAATATTTAGTGATTTCATTGGAGGTAGGAATGGCTCCTAATGGTATTACAAATATTTTATTTAAAAGAAGTTATAAAAACCTTAAAAATGATCAAATAATAGGATGTTCTTCCCATTTTGGAATAGAATATTATCAATGGCTAAGAAGTTCTATGAAGTATCTTCAAATAAAATAAAGATCAAAATATAAGGCAAATATAATTTGCCACATCTTGAACTTCTTCAATATATGATCACTATTCTTTGTAGAACTCATCTTTAAAAGGGAGGATAATATCACAAACATATATATATTTATTTTCATAGTTATTTAAATAATATAAATATGTAGATGTAGGTAAAAATAAATTAATTTGATAATATCTCTTAGTATAGCTTTCTAGGAGCTTTTTAAATGTGATTTCATCTTTATATGTATCTATAGATGATTGATAGGATGAATACTTAGTCAACAAGTTAGCCATATATAATACGTGTTGGTAGCTTGTGGTACAAGGTAACTATATGGCATATGTATAAAAAACTTGCCTTGTAAGTTAAGACATGTGTCTTGTAAATTAGACATGTATTGAAGGTCTTATAGAATGTCACCACATAGTTTTTAATTAGATAGTATATATGGGAGCAAGAATAAAGTTTCATTCACTCTTGTCAAAAAAATTCTTACTTTTAGTCTAATTTCAAGAGTCTTTAGATTTCTAATCTTTAGAAATAGCCATTCCATTTCTTCTTAATTATATATATTTTCTTATGATCATTTTGTCATCTCTATTTGATACTTATATCACTTGTTTATATATCTTTCATGAGTTCTTGTCCTTGATATTATGCTATCATATGCACTCAACCCAACAATGCATTTGTGATAAGTGTACTAGCATAATATATACATAAAAATATATATATTTAAGTATATAAACATTTATTTTGCTACATTTGTGGTACTCTTGACTATACTTTTAACTATCAACAAATCCTACAATCTCCTTGACCTATCTTTAGCTTTAGCAATGCCAATTGGACCTACAAGGTGGACAAGTGTGGCTCAAAATCTAAATATATTTTCCTTCTTTCTTAAGCAGCCATTAGCTGGTGCTCTACAAGGCAACAATCCACTACTCTCTCTAGTATGGAAGCCAAATATATGGCCATGGCTACTATTGCTTCCAAAGCCATTTGATTATATCATCTTTTTCATCACCTTTAGTAAGACAAAACCTTAAAAATTGCCATTGTCATTCATTACAATAATCAATCTATTCTTACACTAGTAGATACAACAAAGTTTCACTTTTGTACTAAGCACATTGTCGTGCGCTATCACTTTATTCAACAACTTGCAACTTAATAAAAAAATCAAATTTGACTACTGTCCTTCTAATGACATTCAAGCCAATTTATTTACAAAATCTTTATTAGGTCCAAAGCTCACCCCTTATCTTCTACTATTTAATATGCTTGGAGAAGAACCCAACCTACACCTCAATCTACTTACAAGGGCATATTAAACCAACAAGTAGACTCTACCTTTGCAAAAACAACGCGTAAGTAGACTATGCCTCAACAGAAATGGTGCACCTTTATGGAGAGGGCACATCCCTCTAGGTACGTCACTCTCTCGGTATTATAAATACTCTTGTAAACAAATTCATAGTTAATAAATAAAGACATTATTCAGAATAGAATACAGAACTAGTTATTAGATGCTATTAGTATACTGGACATTGCTTAAGGATAAGGACTTTTCAGACAAAACGATTCAGTGTCATTTTTGTCTGCCATGTGAATGAATCAATGAGATCTTTGCACAGCACTGCTGAGGAGAAGGGTGCATGCTGTGGAGCAATACTATGAGTGTCTCGGAGCCGGAGCTCGCTGCGACAAAATGGGAGGCATCGCAGCAAACCAAAGTTGGCAATGCTGTGATGGCCTGTTCTCCACACCGCAACTCCGAAATGATCGACAGGATTGGCTGTCATTGCAGCAAGAACAAGATTGAATGTTTTTCTAGATAACTGCTCCACTTCTGATTTGACTCGGCCATCACATGGATTGCAGACTCGTTTAAAGGTTTCGTTGTCTACGTCATTCTTGAATGGACCCTCGCCAACATATCTGAGTCCAAAGTAAGCATATAGATATTTCAAATAACAAGCACCTGCAATGACATTTCTAAAAAGATACAAACGAAGGGCTCCTCTCAGCACCACGTGTGAGCATTACGTTTCCTTCAACAAGCTAACCAATTCTCAAGCTGATATTGAGACGTGAAGGGAATTGTACAGACAAATTGGATATCGACCATCAAGGTGCAGCATCACAATTGTGACGGACCGTGAAATATAATATTGCTGGTTAAACTAGTTCTCTGAGATGAGTGAGCAGCAAACCATCATTGCTTGTGAAAATGTTTCAAGGGCAACAGCAACCGTCTCCACGACACGCAATAGCGAGCAGTGTGCTAACTCTCTTATCAGCAGCTTGTACATTACTTGCATCACCTCGATGAGCATTTAATATTGATTGATTCCAGAAGAGATCTAAACATGTATGCAGGTTATGGGAGGCTTGGAGGTTAACAAGACAATATCTAATATTTACGCAATGAATACCGTCTACTTCCGGGCGGAGCAGAAGGAGACAGACATATACCCTCTCTCTATCTCAGATTCAATCTGAGAACTCTGCGCAATTTCAGATCTACTATTTGTGAAATCCCTCCTGAGTTCTTATCCACAGGGCTAAATCTTCTTTGAACAAAAAACTCAATCGCAGAGTTCCATCGTGAGAAGAACTACAGCCGAAGTCTCCACATGCAATACATTGAGCTTAAAACTACACGAAAATCAGACCCCGACACAATCGGTCGGTACTGGTGCAACCATTCTCGAATTGGTATTGATTGAGCTCAGCATTGAGTTAATTTCAAGCCACAACAAGCAGGCGCCAAGAAGAAAGCAATCCCTCAGATCGGAGTTCTGCAAGTTCATTCAACTTTGAACTCTCCATGTAATCAGGAAGTCTGAATTTCATACGCATTGCATTGAAGTTGCCACAGTCCCAACCTGTGGTTACCTCGCAGACTCTCAGAGTCGCTACGTGGTTTTAAATTAGCAGAGCATCTTTTCAAGTGCAGTAAAAAGCCCTAAAATAAAATAGCCTAGCTCTGGCAAGCCGAGATCGTGTCGACAGCACGCATCCGAACGTGAACGGCACACGCAACCCTCTGATGTGGAGGCTGGTATAAATGGTACAGCATCATTAGAATAATCCGGGTCTCAAACAACTATCCATTCTGAAAATGTAACAACTGAATTCTCGGAAGTTGAATGACTAATTAATATTTCGTTAATGTGGATGGAACGCTAAGTGAGTGGGGATTTGGGAGGTGGGGCTACACTGAAACGTGGTAGGCGGTGTTGATGCCACTGCGACTGGGGTCGTCGTTCTTGTCGCCGGATCGCCATAGCCACCAAGCTTGAAGTTCCAAGCTCGGTTTTCAGGGTGTATGCGCTTGTCAATTTGTCGTGTTCTGGATGTGGGAGACACGAAGGAAGGAATGCAGATTTCTTTGGTTTTCCTCGTCTTCGTTTCGATATTGCTGATGTTCTAATTGAGTCCCCTTGCGGATTCCATGTGGTAGTAGGCTACGGCCATGGCCAGGTTGCGCCAGGTACTTAAATCCTTATCCTACGCTGGTTTTCGGTTGCGTTCCGGGTTTTCTGGGGTCCATGTTTAAATTCACATTCTGAAATTCGAGATGAAAATGAAGCTACAGTGTGGTTCGAGATTAGGTTCGTAGTGTTGTTCCGAAGGAACGATATATTCATTATTATATTTTGGCGGCGTATGGGCTTTGAAGCACTGCCTTTCTATAGTTTCTTGTAACGTAGCAGGGGAGAGAGGCAATCAAACTTTGAAGATTCGGCGCTTGTTAATGTTTGCTGTTCGCATTCTGGAGTGTCTGGCTCTTTGGTATGGTTCTGGCATTAAGCAGGAATTTGGAGCACTCAGCAAATGGCCTGCAGGTGAAGTAGTGTAGCTGGATTTTTGCGCATCATTCGCAAATTGTTTTGGGCGTCATATACGTTGTCACAGAGTATGTGGGTGCCAGGGTTTCGTTTACTTCAATTGTAGAGAGCTTTGTATATTTAGCTACAGCTCTAAATGCATGGTTTCGTTACTCCCATCATGGATCATCGTGAGAGAAGGCAGACGTTTTGCGTGGACGGGTTACTGTGAGACAAACGTCTTCAAATTTTTAGCTCAGCAAAGGACATTGTAAGAGCTCTGAACATGCAATACGCTTCGCTGAGCTAAAAATTTCTACGTTTAGGGCTCTCACAATGTAACTCTAGTTGGTTATTTGCACATGCACAAACACCTCTCAAGTGATTTTGCTGTCTCTGAAGCCTCTGAAGTTCAAACATCTTTTTATTCAAGTAACTGGAGTTAGATTCTATTAAAGTATTGCATGTGCTGACGGCGTCTTCTATGATGAATGCTTTGGTTTTGAATACTTCCATTAACAATCGAATTTTCGCAGAATAGCGTGAGAAGAAACTATTGGGGACGATCGTCGCTAGCTGAACACATCAACTTGCAATCGATTGCGCTAGCAGATGTATACGGAATGCTGTCTCATCGTCAACGGGAGCCCTCTGATTTCATCCAAACTTTATTTAGAGATTGGACTTTCTTTGCTTGCCAAGCAGTAGGTGTAGTATCTTCTTGTTTGCCCGAATTTCCTGTGGTCGCCAATAAAATGCGGAATAAAGAGGTATCCATAGAGTTTTGGTAGCAGTGAATTGGAGCATATCGTCATCTTCATAAAACTTTTAGTTCTGTAATTTCATTGAAAGAAAATGATTCTTGAATACGATGGTAGCCGATACCTTGGTAGGTGAGTTTGATGACGACGAAGTGGACATGGTGATTGCGACAACCAAAAATTAATTTTTGTGTCACTAGTCAGGAGCATTTCGAATGTTACATAATGGCGGCCTCGAGCAATTCTTGGCTTCACCAGAATCTTCTTCCTCAGCACAATACGCAGCAGCAGGGATCTCCTCATTCTCTATTTCATCATTCTGAGTTTCCACTTCATGTTGACTCCACACAGCCGGGTCCCTTGCAACACATGAACCTTGGTCATGGCGGTCATGGCATAGATTCGCATCCTCCTCTACACCACGGGATGCACTCTACTCTTCACATGTCCGTAGAGCTGCAGCAACAGCAGCAACAGCTTCAACACCCTCACCCCCCGGTGCAAGTGGGCTCTGGAACCAGGTTCGGATATCTTTATGCTCTTGAATGAATAACTGTTTAAGCTTTTCACTGATCAGCAAAGCATGTAGAGAATAGGCCTAATTGTGCCTGCCTAAGCATCTGGTCGACAGTGGAAGAGCTGTAGGACCAACCGAAAATGGAGACACTGCATCAGTGAGGAAGGTACACAAGGCTGATAGGGAAAAGCTTCGAAGAGATCGATTAAATGAACAGTTTGGGGAATTGGCTGGCGTCCTTGGTAAGTATTTGGAGACTTACTTCTCTGTAGTGGTTTTTCCATAGCATTCAAAGTTGAAACTATTAATCTCGCTGTTGAATAGTTTCAATAAAGATTGTTGTCGAGAATCGAGAAAGCGGATTGATGCTTTCTCTTTAACTCAATTGCGTATAATTGAAGGCCTTATTTTAGTTATATTGATTACACTGTTTTGTATGAACTAATATTATTAAAATACAAAATTAACTTCCCAAGCTGTCGTTTGCGAGTGCAGATCCGGATCGACCTAAGAATGACAAAGCGACCATTCTTGGAGACAGTGTACAAGTTGTAAAGGATCTGCGGTCTGAGGTCAAACGCTTGAAATGCGAGCAGACTTCCCTTCTGGATGAGTCACGTGATGTGAGTGATTATTCATTTTTGTCATTCACGGATTCACCAGCAGGTGCAACTACCTCATACATCAAGTTTAATTAGGGAGTCTGTTTCTTCCAATCTCTGCTAAGCCAAGAAATTAATGAAAACAATTGACATCAACCGGATGGATGAGCAGAATGTTTTATGCATGTGAGTTTTTATATTCGCAGGATTCTTAGCCTTATTCATTAGCTAACTACTTCTTCTTGTCCAGCTTCAACAAGAAAAGACGGAGCTTCGAGAGGAGAAAGCAGCGCTCAAGACAGAAACAGAACAGCTTCAAAACCAGCTGCAACAACGTCTGCAAGGAATGTTACCATGGATATCCATGGACCCTACCGCAGCTCTGATGGGAGCTCCCCCCTACCCCTACCCTCACCCCCACCCCATGCCGGTTCCTCAACCCCCGTCTTCCGCTGTACCATCGAGCACTCCGCCAGCTAGTGAGCCTGCACCAGCTGTGCCAACTTCCCAACCTCCTGTAGTTGGGCCCTCTCCTTTCCTCTCTCTCGCACCCCCTGGCGTTTACATGCATCCATATGCCATTTACGGTGCCCGGCCTCCCGAGAGAGGACACCCGTACATGCCCTACCCTCCTTACTCCGCCTCCGTTGGCAACCACTCGCACGTCGAGAGGCCGTATGCTCAGTACCCTTCCCCTATGTCCACCATGCCTGGATACATGGTACAGATGCAGCCACCGCCACCGCCGTATGCTGTACCAGGTATGACCCTTGTGCCACCAGGCCAGCAGCCCAGGGGTCCGCCTCACAGTACTTACCCACCTACGAGTGGGCCAGAAACTGCCTCTCTAGAGCCGCAGGGAGTGGAGACCAGCTTGCAGCTTCAAACTCCAGGAGGTTCCTCTCGTCCTCCTTCAGCATCCGAACAGCCTCCCTCTCAACGCGGTGAAGACTCAAATAAAATACCTGAGGTAATGCGAATTTCGTATTTCTGCAAATTATTTTACAGTGCGTAATCCCAAGCACTATTTCGTGTGGTTGTTAGTTTGAACTGATTAACACGTTTTTTTAGTTCTTAGGACCATAAGTGATTTGCTTTGATGGCTTAAAACTTATATTGGTAGGTCACGGATACGCAGGTAGCAGATTTAGAATTGACACCACCAGGCACGAAAGAAGCTGGTGATCAAGCCGTGTCCAAACCAGATGAAATGAATGGTGGTGACGCCATTTCATCGCTAACGCTAGCTTCCAAATCTCTGCAATCGCGGACGGATGATGCCCCTTTACCTTCTAGAAGTGAGTGAGCCTGCTTCCTTGACCTTTCTAAGAGTTTAACCAATGCTTCGAAATTTTCTGTATCATGAGGTGATCATCCGGCAAGATATTTCTAGGAATACATTTATGTTGATAACCCTACTTGACAGTGAATGGTTTGTGCTGGTGTTTGGGGTTCTTAGGATCAGAATCAAATTTGGAAGAAAGTCGACCACATGGAAGTACTTTGGAACCAAGCCCAAGTCAAGCAACTGAATAGCTGCCTAAGCATTGGTATGAAACCATGACCCCATTGTCATATACACTGCAGAAAAACTTACAGTAGCAACATTCATTATTGAATCCCACTTTGAAGCAAATTGGACCCTTCTAGTTAGCAAATTACTTAACATTATGGAGTTCCTTGATTTTTTAAATTGGAAGATCTGCTCTGTCAAATGCTTGCTTTCATATGAAGTCCCTTCCTTGTATCTTAAACGATTCTCCTTCATATCTCAACTCGACACATGACTTTAAGATTTACTATCAGAGCCTCTGCCATGTTGCTATTGTTGGATATATTGTTACACCAAGTTGAATATTTCAAATTCATTCTCTTTGCTTATTCTGGTATTACGAACAACTGAATCATAAGTCTCATTTCGATTCCCATTCCTTTGGTATCAGTGTCGATATATTTTTTTGGTTTTCACTTTAACCTTGAGCTTAATCGGAATTAATTTGCTTTTTCGCTGAATCTCTATATGAATTAATTTTAAAATTATTAATTGTAGCTAACTGGTCTTAGTTTGTTCCTGGTATAGTCAAAAGTACGAACTACTTTGCTCGAAGTACATAACAATCATTACTGTAACATGGTTCATAAAGTGCCTATTACAGATGAAATATTCCCATCTCTTCAATCTCACAATGCGCAGCGAATAATTAAATCAAGGAGAGCCTACCTCGCGTGGTTGCGTTGGATCTGCATACATGGCAGACAACATTTCTAGCGAAGCCTTGGCCACCTGGTCTGTCTTCAACAGCACCCTCTTGTTCCTTCTTCCTCCTGCTCTCGGATCTTAATCATTGTAGCTTCCATCTTAATGTCAATTTAACAGCTCGCTTCACGGCATTGGTCATTGGGTGGGAATGCAGCAGCTTTCGATTACCTATACCTTGACGCGGCCCTCACCTCCTACACCCTTGGTCGATTGGTGTGTGGAGATTTGGCCTACCACCTGCGGTTGAGTTCCAACCCCAAGTTCTCATTCAAAATTGGTAATCTCGAACCTGAGGTGCACTGTATGTGAAGTTCACCGTATATTCTGCACCGGATCCGCATCCGCTTAACTTTGTGCAGGCTACTGAGAGAACAGAACTGGGCGGCAAGCAGCCAGTGTTGACTGCCTTGATTCTGAGGAGAGGAATCTTGTGAGATACCTAGTGAGAAGGATCACATTGCTACTCTTTACAACGTGGGAAGATGGTTGATCATACAGGTGAAAATATGATGACTGAAAACCTTATAGGTGATCAGAAGCATGTCATACGTCACTTCTGTTGAGATATCAATGAAAAATTAGTAGTTGTATTCACTAATTGATGGTTGAATGGAAGCATAATTCCATGGTTCCAAGCTGATTTTTTTTTTGAATTATGCCAAGCAAATTCTTGTCAAGCTTTCTATGCTAGCTTTATATTTTTAGTAATAATTGAAGCTCTTTAAATTTGGTGTATACTTAAGTAAAGCTATATAATTTGTGCATCATCTCTCAGATTTACAATATCACCAGATACACATACATGCTGTATATTTTGTTTAATTATGCACATTTCTTAACTTTAAATACCAAATTAGTTCTTTCTTCTTTTTTATTGAGTGAATTTAACTACAAATGAAGTATTTGAATAAGTAATGCGCTTATAAAAGATAGAATTAGTTTTATGAAATTTAACAAATGTTGAATAAGAGATAGAGACATTAATGATAAAAAAAGTTTTACTTCAATAATAAAATACATATATCAATAATATCATGAGATATAATATGTTGTAAAATTGAAAAATTTATAGTAAACAATCAAACAAGTTAAAAACATGTTTTGGAATATAAAAAACTCCACATTATTATTCTAAATTCTAGGTCCAAATTTGCAAGATATTTTAAAATTGTGCTAAATAATTTTGAAAGTGTTTTAAATTAGACTTATGTATTGAAATCAATTTATTTTTAATTTTTAATTTTTTTATAAATAAAAGATTTTGATTAATAAAATAAAATATTAATTTATGATTTTAAGCTAAATTAGTTTTTTCTTTTAACTGAAAATATAATTTATTCATTTTTCATTCTAATAGTCTAAGAATTTTTTTAATTTTATATAAAGTTGATAGTAATAATAATAATCTCTTTTAGAATTGCATTATAGATCTTTGATACAACAAAACAAACTTTTAAATTAGAATCCACTTTGAATGTGGTAAAAAGTCATATGATTTGGTTGTAAATGTTTTAAAAAAATCCGAGCAGGGAGAGATCTTCATAAGATCCACATTCTCATTGGATTTTCTACTACAATGATGTCTACAATGCACTACAAGTACCGACTTCTATAATGTGCTATTCTAAACCTACAATACAAGTCACAGTTTCTTGAGCCCTTGAAATAAATTAAGTCTATACTTTGTCCTTGTGTGCAGCACACAATGTAATCTTCTCCATCAAAGAAACTTTTGATGTTTGTAACTCCTTGCCTCTACTGCCACAAGTCTCAAAGAAACACAAGTCTTGGAAAGGAATTGAGACATGTAGATGGCAACAAAACAAAATTCTCAAGGGTTCCTCAAACATGTTTAAAGCTTTCAACACCTTGGAATAATGTATTTGTAAAATGTATTTGTCATAAAAATGACAATCAAAATTTTAATTAATCATATAAATATATTATATAATCTAAAATTATAATAAATAATATCTTTTATATAAAACAGCTTAGGGGATAAAAAAATGGGATAAACCAGAGGAGACAAAAACCATCTCTAATTAGCTACATATCTCATTACTTTCATCAAAAATGAAGCAAAAGTCAATAACTCAACTTTAGAACAATTAAAGATCAAAATCTGCATGTTGTTGCTAAAAATTGCCGAGAGTACAAGATTACTAAACATGGAGCTATAACAAATAAGTAAACCAATAAATATTTGCCATTGACCACCTTTTTCAAAGACAACAGCATAGATTTCCACTAATATATATACATATATATACTCATTTATCCATGCATCCATTCAAATACTATTATTCTTTTATACACCTCAATAACTTGATGTAATAAGTCATTCTTACAACAAAATAAAGGGCCCAATAGCAGTGTGTATATATATATATATATATATATATATATATCCATATGTTTTTTGCATTATTTAAATTTAAAAACATATATTTTTACATATTGACATGAGTAAATCAGACAATAAGTACACTAGAGAATGCATTTACACCTGAGCAAGAAGAATTGGACAAGATAACAAAGACAAGACTATTCTGTCAAATGTGGACTTTGTTTTTCCACTCAAATTTTTTAGCAAAGTCACCTAACAGCAGCTCATTGCGAAAGGTTTGGTACTCCTCCAAAGACGTTTTAGCCCACTGCTTGCAGAAACAGGAGTCGGTGACGGCTAAGGATTTCATGGGAAATGGCCCAGTGGGTAATCTCTTCAGTGCAACAAGGAAGCGGTGCCGAGGCTTGATCCGCTGCTCCAGAGATAAGCTGAAGTACGCTGGGAAACTCGTCACCGTGTGAGGGCCACCCTGCAGCTCCTTCACCAAGTACTCATACTTGGGCTTCAGACAGTTTTCGATCGACAGTGATAGAATCTGTGCAGAGTGACCAACGTGACACACTAGTCATTTCAGGTGCCAATACTGAACCCTCCAATTCAACAACCCTCATCCCCAGATTCAGAACATTGCTTGTGTGAGGAACTCAATAAAGAGAAGTCACTAAACTCCTCTTCATGAACGTGAGGCCACATAAATAATCTCGTATTCGTATGAACCACTTTAATTAGTATCATCCATCCTGCCACCTGCAGCTCGAAGTACCGGTGACAAGTAACCCAACGGTGCTAGAGCTTTCACAATTAATCAATACTTGATACCCAGAGGCTTAGCAGTCCATATTTAAATAGGTTAACCATCATTTTTCATCCACTCTAAGAAGTGGATTTAGCATTACATTTAGAGATTCAGTGTCGAGCAACAAATGTTGCGATCTCCTCATTTTCAATAGACAATGGCAGAAAGGAAATGTACATCCTCTTAACAGCAATATGAGTGCCTCTCCAGTATTTGAGAAAAGTTTGTTAGTTACTTAAGCTAATACCACGCCATTCAAAGTGTTAATGTCCGTATCGATACCTGTGTGAGACGAGCAAATACTTTGAGGATGTCCTCTTTGGACAGTCCAATGCTGCGGAGGTAATCCACACGGGGGTTCATGCCATCCTCCACGCTATAATGGAGGAGCTGGGGATGTCGAGTTACCATCTTCGCAAGCTTCTCCTTTGTGACGCCTATCTCGGCAATAAAAAACTCCACTCGCGGCTCCAGAGAGTCTTCAATACTTTGTGTGAGCACCTGACAGGAGTGAAGAAGCAACATAAGAAGGGCGGAGCACAAACCTGCAAGCGCTAAAGCAACAAGTCCACGAAATTCGTGGAAACATGTATACATTTGTGCACATGATGATCAGGAAAGACTCTGGGTCTGACCTGTGGACTACGTGTGACGATAAGTCCGATATCGGCGTCCTTGATCCCAACCACGTCCTTGAGGTACTGCACCCTAGGTATCAAGGAGCGCTGGAGGCTGCATTCTAGCAAAGAAGGCGCCACAGTGATAACCCGGCCCAGCTTAGACTCTGGTACTCCGATCCGTTTCAAGTACTGAATGCGGGGTTTCATCCCCCGATCTATCGTGTACTCTAAGATCTGAGGATGGCGTACGATAAGCTTGCTCAGGTTCTCGCTTTCTACGCCCTCATTAAGAAGATACTCCACTCTTTCCTTTGCCATGACGGCGTTTGTGTGCAAGCACGTCTTGTGACGCTCGGCAATCTTTCGAAAGTCGGTTTCACCGAGCCCGAGCTGGTGGAGGTAGCTAAGCAAGGGGAAAAACTTGGGCTCCAGGTTAAGATCACAAGATAATTTGATTAACGCCATGTCCTCCATTTCATCAGCCGTCTCCTTCACAAGAATCTGAAACAGGACTTTTCTTGGCTTTAGAAACATGAGTTAAAATTTGAACACCGACAAAATCAAAGGCAACTTAATCGGAAGAGAACAGAACTCGGGACATTACTACCTCCGCTGATTTTGTGACACCGCAGTTCGAATCCAATAACTTATATTCAGGATGGGATGGTCCAAGATATTTCTTGCTGGAGACCTGCGAGGACTTTTTCTCCATTCGACGTGCTCGCAGTGCTGCAGACTCTCTTAGTTTTTGACGCCGAATGATCTCGTATGCTTGCTCCTCCCACTCCTTGCTACTTAACGACTTTGAACGTGGTAGTACCGGTGGCTCGTGGAGTGCATTCCTGCCGCTTGTACCTGCAAGCATACAAGAGAATGTCACACACTTCAAAAATTCCCCTACAGCATCAGAACTACGCATGCTAGAGATTAAGAGCCACTACGACAATCTATATGCTTGCAAGGCTACGCAGCTTTGTTGCATTGCAGCGGAAATCACGAACGAAGGTTTCAATTAATCAAGACTTAGAGCTGGAGGACGATGACATTATCGATTGCGCTATTACCTGCCACTGAAGAACGCGTAGAGGACGTTGAGGCAATGTCAGTGGAAGTCAAAACATCAAGAACAGCTGGAGAAATCAGTTTCACTTTTCGAGGCACTGATGGTATAATCTTCTCGGCTCTCTTGAACTCGATTCCCAGGTTCTTGAGCTTCCGCTCAGCTTTCTTCGTCGTCGATACCGTGTCTCTTTTATCTCGTTCCAATATTTCCAATTCCTGTCACTCACATTTTTTTCAGGAGTAAATTACACAGACTAACAAACCTGTGGGGTTTGTCTGGCTATCAGAGTTAGAGGTGAATTTGCAGCACTTACTGCAACCATTTATGTCATTCCCACGTCAACATTTTCTACAGCGATCTATAAATCAAGCTTAGTTGGTACAACTGAGGGAACTACACAACATGCAATTTTTTAACACCACCAAAATTTGCCAACGCAAATATTGACCTAATTTTGAATCAGTAATCACACGTCTCGTCAATACATGTTGGCGGGTATGCAATAACTTACATCAGAAAGCAGCTGGTTTAAGAGATTGTTGCTTTCTTCTACTTCGTCTTCTTCAAAACCAAAAGTAGGAAGTGGTTCACCGAACCGCGAGCGTCGATTGCTCTTCGCAATTCTTGCATTGGATTGCTGAGAAGCGGCAGCAGCCCCTGCCAGAATCGCTTCTCCCTTACTTGTGAACAACGACTGCTGCAGAGGAACTCCTTGCATTGTTCCCCAAGTAGGTGGTTTGGAATTGTTGCATTGATGCCCACAACCGAAGTACCCTGGCTGCGGACAGGAGGTCAGGGCCCAGGCCACCGCCATTACCCACAATAATTCACTAAACCGCTCTCACTACTCAAATTTGAACCAGTATTCCGCCTCTTACGCGCTATATCAGAACCTGGCCTTCCTATGATGTCTCGGGCACGAGGTATCACACACAGGTCTACCTTCACTGCAGATGACGAGCTCGAACCACACCAAATCCCATTTTAGTTTCATCATTTCTTAAGACCAATTTGTGCACGGCCAAACCCAAAACAGAACCGCTCCTCTCCTCGCTGCGACACGGAATAAAATCCAGCTCCAATGCATAGCTGTCGTTGCCACGGTAAGAAATCCTTCGAGTCTTGTAGAATGTTTCACACAATTGACAACCCTAACCTGCTCACCCCCTTCCGGAATCGGCACTCGCCATTAAGCTTCTACTAAACTGGGCGACCTCTCACCACAGATCACCCCTAGAAAACCCTGTAGTTTGGATCCAAACCCACGTAGAAACTCTCAGCAGGGATCTGTGCAACAAAAACCCTGATGCCCACTTTATTGCGAGAGGAATGTCGCATCTCAAGTTCATTCACACACCAATCGTGGTGCATGTAGATACTTTCCTTCTCTCCTTGCTCAAAATTCATAACAATACTCGTTCATCTGTGACAATACCCCCTAAGAATCTTCGTTCATACACATTCATTCGTATCACATCGCAACACTATCAAAGGCTGCTTCATTCGGTCTTATACAGTGTCTGGGACAGAATTTGAGCAAACTGCTGTGCATTATATGCTTCATAAACCCTAATCGGGCTAGAACCATGAACAGAATCTGAAAACTTTCATACAGTATCGCAGTGAAAAAAATTTACTACTGAACTATGCGAGATGCTCAACAGCGATAAAAATTAGTTTCTTATCAATGCCTGAGAAGATTTTCAAATACATCATTAGATGATCGCTCTCCGATAACTTTGACCCAAATGAGAGGGTGGAATGAATCACGTGTTGTGCGTTGAATTCTTGCTAAGACAGCAAGCTACTTTACATTCATCGATCGAACAGACGCACATTTTCTTATCATTTAAGCCATGGCATTGTAGTTTAATGGTATATTCATCTGCTAAAGTTTGTTAATTGTGATTGTTAATTGTTAATTTAAGTTTCTAGAATATTGACCTCCTCTTTCAGCAGGTCCAGAGCTGGTAGAAGTGCCTTCAAGAGCGTATTAGCCGCATACAATTTCACTTTCAATGAATCGCCTCTGACAAATGCAGGGTGGAGAATTGAAGCGTCCTCCCCTGTCAGAAAGTGGGACTCAAGTTCAGCAAGCTCTTCATGAACGAGGTTTGACTCAATCCCGCAGCATCAGTGATGTCAGTCCCTTCCTAGAATAGAGCTTCTGTTGCTCTGGAATACAGTTAGCTATGCCGTGATTTTAGACTCTAACCCGTCGATGACACTCTTTGCCATTGAGCATTTACAGAAAATGTCTTTGATACAGCGACCACATTTTCCGAATACGGGATGCATGTACTCCGTAACCATCAATTTCGCAGAAAAGGATTGATAGAACCAGAACTCTAGTTTCCCTGGTCCAGATCTTGTGACACCCGGCCTAAACTATTGAGGCAATACCCGGTAGTTGTCACCCAAGGCGTTCTGCTTTGCACTCATAAAAATGAGTAGATCAGGACATTAACTTCAAAGGTATATCAGGAGGGTGATCTGCACCATACAACCACTCAAGAGAAAACGTACACTAATCTAAATGCCCAAGTACAAATACAACGGAGTGATTGAAACTTTTATTTCTTTAGCATGATGTTCCATCTTCCCAGAGCGCTTCAAACTGTTGATATTCTACGTCCATCTTCTGGACTATCAGAAGCCGGAGTTATACAAATCGATTGGGTACTGGTTGAAGAAACACGCGATTATGAGAGTTGTGCGAGAAATCACCGAGCGCAAGGCTAAGACATAAGATCACACAAATGCAGATCGACAACATCAATCTCCAGAAAGAAACAAGCCTCCCAATAAATACGATTGGCCACAACAAGTCTTCTAGATAGTAACAAATACTTCCTTCGTTAACTGCCCCATAAATTCCAGTCCTCCAAATCCGATCAAGGCACTTCCAACCAGCGCAGACTCGTGTTAAGGCCTGATCCTTCTAAAGAATCTCCTCCTAAACAATCATTCGATCCGTCAATCTGGCCTTTACGCAATACTACTTCCGCGACCAGCACTGGAAAGGGCACCGGCATATCTACGAAGTACCCCTTCTTCCTGGTGCTACAGAAAACAATATCAACAACTCACAAAAGATCTGCAACATTGGAAGGCAGCTCCTCGATCACAGTGTTGTAGAACCTCTGAATATCTTGGAGCATGCGATCGTCATCTCTTGTTACAAAGTTGATCGCCACACCCTTACGTCCGAAACGCCCACTACGTCCGATACGGTGAAGGTAGTTCTCAGGCTGGGTAGGCAAGTCGTAGTTGATAACCAGAGACACTTGTTGAACGTCGATACCACGAGCAAGGAGATCGGTGGTAATAAGCACTCGGGATGAGCCTGAGCGGAACTCACGCATGATAATATCACGGGTGTTCTGGTCCATATCTCCATGGGTCGCAGACACGGTGTGGTCGCGAGCTGATCACACGAAATCCAGAACATCAACATCAGTATACATAATGTCACGACAGCTCCACAAAATTTCGATCAGTAGGAGTTCCTTCAAGAAATTACCTCGCATCTTGTCGGTGAGCCAGTCGACCTTTCGGCGAGTGTTGATGAATATGACACTCTGTGTAATGGCCAAAGTTTCGTATAGATCACACAATGTATCCAATTTCCACTCCTCTCTGTCTACATTCACGTAAAACTGCTTGATACCCTCAAGGGTCAGCTCATCTCTCTTTACCAAGATCTTCACAGGCTTGTTCATGAATTTTCTGGTGATTTCAAGAGCTTCGGGTGGCATGGTGGCAGAGAACACACCAACTTGAAGCTTCTGGGGAAGAAGCTGGAAAATGTCATAAATCTGCACAACTCACCCAATCTGACCTAAGTCAATAAGCAGCACCAACTTTCACAGCTGTCGAGCAAGTATAAAGATCACTTCCTTATCATCCAGGAACAATAAGATCATGCAAGTTCTACTGAACTTGAAAAATCCTTTACACACCTGATCCTTGAATCCCCTCGAGAGCATTTCGTCAGCTTCGTCCAGCACGAAGCACTTGATTGCATCAGCACGAAGTGCGTTCCTACGCAACATATCGTACACACGACCAGGAGTACCCACCACAACATGGACTCCAGCTTGCAAAATTCTCTGATCCTCCCTTACGCTGGTACCTCCAACACACGCATGTACCTTTACCTGGAGATAATCACCTAGAGCTCGCATAACCTTCTCAATCTGTTGAGCAAGCTCCCTAGTTGGTGCCAAAACCAGTGCTTGACACTCAAGGAGTTGATAATCCAATTGTTGAAGAATACCAGAGCAGAAGGTAGCAGTCTTGCCAGTCCCTGATTGTGCTTGCTGAATAACATCGAGGCCCTTGGTAAAGGGTACAATACCACGCTGTTGAATAGCAGATGGCTTCTCAAAACCTGCAAAAATTAACAAAATTAAGCTAGTAGGAATGGATCGCAATGTTATAACCTATTGGAAGGAAACTATGAAGATAATGCGTGCCTACTAAAAAAATGCGCCCAAGGAGGAGTAACTTATGTATAAATGAATAAATGAATTGCATTCGATTAGAATATCAATGAAATTAGGTGAAGACCTTACCATATGCGTAAATTCCCCTTAAAAGATTCTCATGTAGATCCATCACATCAAAGGTCTCGTGGACCTCCTCCCATGTGGAAATGAAGTCCTCACCCTCGCCAGCCAAGCTGAAACCGGAAAGACTTAACATTAGCAGGGTTTGATTGCGCACTGAGTCACCATTCAAGCGTGATTACATCCTTATATAAAAAGCACGTTTCACGAAATAGGAAAATCGAGATGATCAAAGCTGGAGCAGTAACATGAGCTTACACAGTCTCCATCTTGGCATCATACTGGCGGGCATCGAACTGAGAACCTTCGGGAGCAGAACCAGCCATAGCACTTCACAACTGCACTGACCAGGGAAATCAACAAGTATGAGAAAGTGCCCAGCTGCAACTGAAATACTCACTTTCAGGCTGAGTAGTAAAACAGCATCGATAACCGTAAGAATCACTTAGAAATCGCACAAAAAGGATCTTTCTAAACACACAGGAGAGAATCAAATTAATTGCGCTCGATCTATTTTCATGACGTCAGATTCGTTAAGTGTAAACTATGCATAATTCGAGGTCACACGTTCAGAAATGAAAGTCGGGTGTATTGGAGGTGACCATGCTACTAAAAGACCATTTTCATCAGATTTATACTGCACTCCTGGCCATTTTCAGTTAACGAATTTTTAATCATCATCAGAACGATTGAAACGTATACTAAGAAGCATTCAACGTCGAAAAGATTTATATACAATTTCCGGCTTTAGAACCACTTCTTTACCCAAGAGTCCTAAGAGCGACGCTCAGAGAAAGGGCTCCAGTCGCAAGTTGCTAAACACCCACAGGTTGGTGGGGAACAATTGGAAAAGAGGGTTAAACTTCACACAAAGACCGAGATGCTAGGGAGAATGAACTCTTGGACTGTAAAGGACCTCAAGAGTCAAGTACCACAAAAATTCAACCTTATTCAACCAGAACCCCAAAAAAGACAAAAGACTCTGCGTGCGAGTAAATTGCACCTGGTGCATGAAAACTGCCCAAACAATCCGAAATAACATTCAAAACTAGTCAACTCACACCCAGACCCCAGGCAACAGACACAAAGATACACCCAGTCACAACAACATCTCATGAGCAGATGAGACTTGGACATGAGAGAAAAGGGAGGGAAAATAACATGGCTATCCACGCTCGTCGAACACCTAACTTAACACCAATTAATCACACTCATCCTGATAAATACATGCACGAAACTCGCACCTGTCATCCACGCATGCACTCACGCCCACACAAACACACAAAGCAAACAAACTCGCTGAAGGGCGACAAATCGCAAACCGCCCAAACAAACCCGTTACCCTAAAGGGCGTCGTGTACAACCAAAAACCTGCATAAAAGAGCTCAAATGAATGGGAATGAAGGGGCAGGAGCGTAGAGAGGCGACAAGAGGAGGGAATGCTTGGCAGCGGCGGAAAGAAACGCACCGATCTGGGAGCGCGAACGGAGGAGCAAGAGAGTGCGACGACGAGCACGACGACGGCGCAGAGCAGCAGCAAACTCAAAAAGAGTTTGCGTCTATTCAGACTAGGGCTTTCAACCCCCGAAACGTAGGGCCGCCCTATATGTATCACCCAGGTCCCGTCCTGCCGGCCAGTCCATCTCGGCTTTCGCGCCACTTCGAACGAGATCCCCTGGTGTTCGCAGACGTTCTCTTCGAGTTTTCATTTGTTCCCATTTGTTCCATTAGTTCCCTCACAACTGGCGCATGGCGCCACCTGGGCTTCGGTTAATGCTTAGGTGGAACTCGTCACCACATGGCCGGGAACAGACCCCGGGTCTTCCACGGGGTGGCCCATTGAATGAGCGGGTTGGCCTGGTGTTGGGAGGGCTGGCGATGAGCTTGTGGAAGTGGCGGTCGCGTCTTGACCTGGTATTCTCGGTGGAATTGTCCTGTTGACACGTTCAACAACTCTGATTCTGCAGAGCTGGATCGTTGCGGGAGGTTATCTCTGACAAGTTCGAATCAACCCACCAATGATGCCCACAACCCTTCTGTCGTAGAATAGGTCCTCCTGCTTACAATTTTATTTTTATTTTTTATTTCTTTAATAATAGATTGTAGTACAAGTATTAGAAAGTGCTAGTAGGCTTACAAATTCTTCCTATTTCATGAAAAATAATACAAACGTAATCATCACTTCTTATAACAAAAAATAACAAGTATGGTAACAAAACAAAAAAATGTTGGTTGCAAGCTAATACCTTGCAAATGCATGAATAATATGCAAGTTGTAATATCATGAATTTAAAAACTTGGTGAACTTGCAAGTATAATGTGGTTTCATTCACACTAGCCTTCAAAAATAAATGTAATTGGGTTTTAATTTGAAATTTAAATTCTCTTTGTGAATGTATTTATTATTTTATTGAATTGATATTGTCATTAAATTCTTTCTCTTGCTTGTACAAAATAGGGCTGCAAGTCATGAAATAATGACCTTTTGCATATAATAACAATATTCAAGAAACAAAACTATTGAATATGATACTAAAAAAAGCCATCCATAACAGAATTATCATTTCTGCCAGATTTAGAATATATACATAAGTGTGTATATGCATAAAAAAGGAATTTTAAGTAGCACAATACAAACAAATGTGTAAAAGTAATTTTTTCTAACAGGATATTTCTTTCAAATAGTTTTTACAAACATATATATACATATATACATTTTTTTTTTCATTTTGATGGGTTTTTTTAAAAAAAAAAAGAAAAAAAATCTAAAATAACAGCAAACTAACATCAGTCACCATTAACAATGCATGGTAAGTGAAAAAAAAAAAAACAAAACAAAACAACAACAACAACAACAACAACAAAATCATGATAATGTGGACAAAATTGTTGTATGTATTTTAGTAGTTCAATCCGTGAAAAAAAATTGTTATACATACTCATACTAAAACCCACTTTTTAACAATAAGAATACAATTTAAATCACAAATTTACGTTACAGTAGTTCAAGAATATTTATTGTAAACATAATTTCATGTTACAATAATTCAAGTATCATGGTCTGTACTAGTCAAGATGGTGGTGAATCTATTGACACATATTTGTTTGTTTGTTTGTTTGTTTTTTTCTTGTTGCTGTGACGATGGAAAACTGTAGAAAATGTCTAATGAGATCAGCATTCATTTTGGATAGCCTGAACAACATTTTTTGAAATTACCATTAATATGAAAACAAAACACAATAGTAAGATATAATACATATGCTTTTAAATGCTATGAATATCAAAATGCTATTGAAATTAAGTTAACTTGAAAATGTCGTGGTAATAAATATCATTATTTTTCCTTTTTAATATAAAATAGGAGATATATATATATAATTATTTCTCATGTTATGTACATGACTTTATTATACAAATTATTTATTTGTATGCATTTATACATTGAATATAACATGAGAAATATATATATATATATATATATATATAAATGCGCACATTACAAAAACATAAAAGTTTTAAAATTTGACTCTTTTATTAAAAATTTTAACGTATTTTTTTATTGATATATATATATATATATATATATATATATGTGAAATTGGTTCCATCGATTATAATTGTATTCTATCTTATAACAGAATCAAACCTGTTAAATAGATTATAACAGTGTTTTGATGTTTAGTTTATTTCATTCATGCTGCTTATATTTCTGTTATAAATTGCTTATTTAAACATATAAATGCCTTTTTTTTATAGTATTTGTGTGTCCTATTATATGTGCATGTTTAAAACAATTTATGAAATATTAATATTTTAACATGCATTTTAATTTAAAATTTAAAGCATACAATTAGTATGTATAGTATGTAGTTGTACTACGTGTAAAATACAACAAGGTTAAGTTTATATTAAATCTCAATACAACTTGAAAAGTATGCATGTTCCATATATCATGTGCCACTTTTTTAAAAGTTCCATAATTTATTATTATGATTATTATTATTATTATTATTATTATTTGTTTTTTACTTGGTTTATTTTGTGAGATAGAATATATATTTTTTGCCTTAAAATAATTACTAGTGAATTTTATATGGCACTCGTAGTATATTTGAGTTACACATACATATATTAAAATACAACTATCTTGAATGCGTTTTGCAAGAATATTGAAGGATTGCTCATTTATGTTCACGTTTTGAAAATGATATATTACTTTGAGATGTTTTGTTTTTGTTTTTTGTTTTTTTAAAATAAACACCAATTAATTTAAATATTTTAGAGTTATTCTATTATATTGATGTAACTTATATGCTATGTGCAATAAACAAAGAAAGAAATAAAAATGTAGAAATGATAAAAATAACCTTCTTATTCATAGTTGTGTGAATTGATTGTTACACATTTAACAATAACAAATCTAGTTGCCAATGATTAACCCACCTACCTTGACCACATTACATACACATACACACACATACATTACATCCCCAAGGAATGAAGTTGAATGTTTTGACCTTTTATTGATTCTACCAAGAGTTTACACAAGAGCTCATCATCTTAATTAAAGTGGCGAATCATGTTTTATAGAATCAGATTAGGTGTTCATTTTATGATTATCCCCACTACGATGAAATATTACAATTCAACTACACAACAACCAAGCCTCAGTCAAATCACAAAACCCAATGTCCCAAGTTCCAAACCCTAAACTCTAAAACTATCTAGACACTCACCAGAAGGTATGAGACAGCAAAGGTATATACGCGACCCATATATTATTCGTATGTACATAGAGGGAACGACGCGACGGGGAACAAGCAAGGGAACTTGAGGTGGGCGGGACTGCCCAGCTTTCAAACTCGTTTCCAGCCATCGCGCGTCAGGTTTGGCGGTGTGGCTCAATCGCACTCTTTCGCTCTCTGGCTCGCATTTGAAGTTGCAGCTGCTACAACAGACGTCGAAGTCGCGCAAATCGGAGAAAACACTGTAGGACTTTAACTACGGCACACGGCGTGTGTGACAGCGCGTTAGAATTGGCGCTTCGATTGACGCAGGTTTTGGGCAACGGGCCGATTTTTCGGGGGGTTTTGGGGGGTTGGAAGTTGGGGGGATCTTGTGGAGTGGTGGATTGGGGCGATGATAGAGTTGGAATGTGTGTGGCCGCTTCGATGTCGCTCTGAGAGGAGCGTATTGTGAGCAGGAACACGAGACGGCACGTGAGGCGTTGGTTTTGGGGTGTTCGAACGAATTCTCTGTGAGTCTTTTTTTTTTTTTTTTTTTTTTTTTTTCTGTTTGGTCGTCGTTTTTGTTGTTCCACGCAACGCGAATCAAACGGAAACTGCATTTTCGAATCCTGGAGCGTGTGAAGGCGAAGCATCGGGCTTGGGATGGTACTCCAGGGCCCGTCGTGGCTGGATCTTCAGTTGCAGTTGGAGCAGGGCGATTAATGGAGGCGGAGAGGTCGATTGATGTAAAATTAGGGTTTGACGATAGGGTTTTGTGGGTTTAGAGAGCTGGGAGGATGGAGAATTATCTGCACGAGTGTGTTCGGTCGTCTTTGCGTGCGTACTTGTACGCGAATGCTACATTCCTGTGTGAGCGCTTGTGTGCGGAGTTTCCCTCGGAGAGTAATGTGCACTTGCTGGCAACGTGCTATTTCCGGAGCAACAAGGCACACCAGGCTTATCATGTTCTGAAAGGTACCAAATCGCGGCAATGTCGATACCTATTTGCACTGGCGTGCATGGAGATGCAAAATTTGGAAGAGGCGGAAGCGGCATTGTTAAGTTCATTGGAACCAGGTGCTGAGTCGCAGCCCAGTTCAGCAGCGAGCTATTATCTACTGGGCGTCATTTGCAAGCAGTCGGATCGAAGGCAGGGAGCAATTGGGCATTACACGCAAGCGTTGTCTCTGGATCCGTTTCTTTGGTCTGCATACGAGGATTTGTGTGGCCTTGGAGCGGAAGAGGAAGCTGCCTCCGTGTTCAGCGATGCAGCAAGTTTTCAGCTACAGAAAGTTGAGTTCCTCGGGCAATTGAATGCGATGCAGAATGAGCATGATGATAATGATTATTCGCTTCGTACCCCTGTGTCCAGCAATGGCAGCCCTAAGCATAGGAGGCTGCATTCCGGTGGTGCTGTTAGCGATGCAGGGAGTGCGTTCATGACTCCAACGTCCGAGGGTATGTGTACCCCTGCGCCTGTTCCGAACTTAGGGTTGGGACTTCCAGGACCGGGTCGTAGTACCAACCCGAGTGCTAGCCCTGCGGGAGGGGGAGCAGGTGAGGGAGTTGGAAGAGGAGGTGGAGGGACAGTTGGGTATGCGCAGCAGCGACGGAAGTTTGTTGATCCCGATGGAAAATTTCGTAAGAGCTTGCGATCGCTTTCCATGCGCCCAGGGTACACCCAAATACCTGGAAGGCTCTTCGAGCAGGGGGCACCTAGAAGGAGTACAAGGTTGAACATGAGTGGAGACTGTAATGCTGCACAGGCACAGCAACCTTGCACTACGAGTAATGTAGGCGCCACCACGATGGGGTCAGGAGCCAATGCTGGAGGAGTTGTTGCGCCCGTGAGAGGCGGAGGTACCGGAGTCACGCCCTCGCGGATAACCATATCTCGGAAGCAAGCTGTGGGCATTAGCGTGGACGATGGTAGGAAACTGTTTGACAGCTTCGAGGTTTCTGGAGGCGTGGACGAGGGGCTGAGTAATTCCAAATTGGAAGGTGCGGAAGAGGAGGCACCACTGTCAGCTCGATGCATCTCGCGTGGAGCTTCGGAATTATTCCAGCTGTTACGGATTTTGGGGGAAGGGTATCGTCATCTGTGCATGCTTCGTTGCCAAGAAGCTGTTCAAAGCTTTTCCAAGCTACCTCAACAGCATTTTGCGACTGCCTGGGTGCTTTGTCAAGTGGGAAGAGCGTACTTGGAAATGGTTAATTATGCTGAGGCGGAGCGTGTATACAGCTGGGCGCGACGTGTCTCCCCACACTGCTCAGAGGGAATGGACATGTATTCAACAGCGCTTTATCATATGAAGAAAGATGTGCAGTTGAGTTATTTAGCACAAGATGCCGTTGCTATGGACCGGTTGTCGCCGCAGGCATGGTGTGTGATGGGGAACTGTTTTAGTTTGCAGAAGGATCACGAAACTGCATTGAAGTTCTTCCAACGAGCTCTTCAGTTAGATCCGAATTTCACTTACGCACATACTCTTTGTGGGCACGAATATGTAGCGATGGAAGATTTTGAGGAGGGTCTCACCTGCTACCGCAAAGCTATTCGGCTCGATTCCCGTCATTACAATGCTTGGTATGGACTGGGTACTATCTACTTTCGGCAAGAGAAGTATGAGCTAGCTGAGTACCACTTTCGAAGAGCTCTCTTCGTGAATTCCCGCTCTTCGGTGTTGCATTGCTATCTGGGCATGGCATTGCATGCACTGAAGAAGAATGGCGAAGCTTTGGCTTTGTTGGAGCAAGCAATAGTTGCAGACCCGAAAAACCCTCTCCCAAAGTTTCAAAGAGCCAATGTGTTGATGAGCGAGGGACGTTGCCATGAGGCGCTGGCAGAGCTGGAGGAGCTGAAGGAACTAGCTCCACGGGAGAGTAGTGTCTTCTTTCTGATGGGTCGAATATACAAGCGATTAGACATGCTAGAACGTGCTATCCATCATTTTTGCATTGCTCTAGACTTGAAGCCATCGGCTACGGACGTGAATCTAATTAAGACAGCCATCGAGAAGTTGCCAATTGCAGATGATCTCGAGGTTGAGAATTTGTAGCCTTATTTCAGCCTCCTCGCCTGGCTGTTGCGAAAGACCTGTTGACTTGAGAACTGTTTGGTCTTGGAGCACCTGTACATTGTGTTCATCTTTTATTCTGGCCTGGAGCTGCTGTTTAGCATGTGGCAGTTCTGCTTGTTGTTCAAATCAGAGAACGACGAGTTCACTTCCAGGCCACCTTGATTTATTTGGCTCGTCTATATTCCCAGCCATATCAACTGAATCCTCACTTTGGCCGTTCAGACAGCTAGCTTGCTTGTTTGCGTTAGACCGTTCACACTTTAACTAGGGTGGAGAGTTGTATGCTTATGTTACACTAGTTAGAAAAAGTTGAACTGGGAGGTGCCTTTTGTTTCTGACCTCTCTCATGAATATCTTTGGACTGGGTGACACTTGGTGAGTTGTTTACTTGATGATAGTAGAGATATGGAGTGTTCAGGTACATTTAGAAGAATTAGTCATGGACTTGCCCAAAATATCTGATGTTTGGATTCAAGTTTCATTTTCTGTGGTAATGTTTTTGAATCTCAGAGGTTTGTTGGCAAGACTGAGTTGCGAGTTTACTTGTACAGCTCTATCGCATCACTTTTTTAGAAATTTAGAAGAATGGTTTTAGCACATTTAAAAGCTTCTGGTTGGATCATACTTTTTTTGAAGAAAGTTTAATCAGTGTTTTTAAGGATGTACATGTGATCCACTTATTTAATTAGAACTAAAGAAACCAAAGCTTTATTCTCAAAATTGTAGAAAATAGTATGCTAGGTTCCATGGTGCACAGAATGAATTGCTATAATGTATTATGTATCATGAAAAGATTTATATCTTGAAAAATTATAAATTCAGTCAAATATGTTATGTAGGACATTCAAATTTGTAAATTTGAAAATTTAAATGAGGAGAATCAATATGTATGTAAGGCAAGAATGTGTTTATGATAATAAAATTGGCATGCTTTATTTTGTTTCAAAGAACACAAAATCATCATTTGTTTGTATCTATGCAATGTTAAGATATCTTTCTTATTTATAAGTCATAATACATATAAATTGTATGGCACACAAGTTTCTCATTGTAAGGTCAAGTGAGAATTTATAATCTAAAGACTAGTTAAAACAAATACTTTATATGTGTTATATGCATTGTCATACCATTTGCATGGTTGATAAAACTAAAAATAGCCATATATACATTCCACACTAAACAAATTGTAGTGATCACCACATTACCATTACATCTACATGGATTGTGACAACAAGCCACAACCACTTTACATAGCACATGGCTTGAGTAGCATGTCTCAACCACACACTTACAATATGTAATTGAAATATAATCTACAACTGTAATATCAACAAGTAATGACTAAATCCATAAGTTACACAAATAAAGAAGATTTATTGAAGAGAAATAAATATCCAAGACTTGAACTAGACTCAAAATATAGTAAGTGGATAAAAATATCTACTTGATTCCTTTACCTATGTTGAATCTCCTTTGACATTAGCAAACCTCTTCATATCTAATTCATGAGGTGAAAAGATAATTTAAATGAAAACTATTACATGTATTTTAAATATCCACCATTCTTGACACACTTTAGATATGACCAATCTCTAGTTAGAATTGCTTCTAGTGGTGGATTCAAACTATCCATTTACCACATTGTGGAATAAACATCATAAAAAACCATTTTGGCAATGCCTTGAGTACTTCTACATAATGTATACTTTAACCTAGCTAAAATATATAATAACTTGGTGTCAATTCTACCATCTACATGTCGCAAATGACATAGTGTGCAATTCTATCATAACCTTTTAAGAGCAAGATTCTTAACTTGAGAATCTCTAATATATGTAAAATTACATGTCATATTGTTACATCCACAATATTTGGTGCAATTTGTTGTGGGCAGACATATTCTCTCAAAAAAAACATTTATGCTCGTGGTTTATAGTTCCTTTTTTAAAATTATAGCATATATAAAAAAAAATACTATAATATAAGTTGAATATATTTGATATATTTGACGAGTCTAATTTAATGGAATCTAATTATAAAAATAATATAATTAAAAAAATTATAAATAATTTAAATAGAATCTTTCAACATTATATAATAATTAAACTCTTTAAGGATCCTAGAATTACTCATTTATATAAGTCTACTTATTACTTACAAATCCTTGCACTCATATTTGGATTATCCATATTAACTACAAAAATTTCAACATTTCTTTTGATAACTATATGTAATACCAAATCCTTGCCATACAATAAAAAATAAGGTTAAAATGATGCTAGTGAGGCTTCTTATCAATTCTTTGGTCTATTGCAAATAAAAGCAATTATAAATCCCAATTTCTATGATCACTTTTTTAAAAATTGTATTTTCAAAGCCCTCTTTTGATTGTTTATACTATGAATTTTACCAAACTATTTGCTTATCAATGGATTCTTGAAGTTGTTCTATGATCAAACATTGCTTACTCACATAAGGTTTGATATTTTTTAGGAATACTCTTCTTTGATTTGTCAAAATCTTTGTTTGAGCTCCAAATCAACTTAATACTTTCTTCAAGAAAACATATGCATTTCTTTTACTAAACTTATCAAACAAAGGCACCACTTCTAACAACTTAAAAAAATTCTCAATTATCACCAATATATACTTATTGTATCAACATGTAGTTTGTAACAGACTTGCAAAGTCTAAACTTTATCTATAATATAAATACAATTATAAATTTTGTAATTATATTATTTTTATAATTTCTACATATTTTTTAAAGTCTAATTACCATAAGTATCTTTTTTAGTTAACTTAATTATAGTAGATGTATACTCATAATTTACTTGTAGAAATTCTACCAACTTGGTTTCAAATAATTTCAATATACAATCTCAAAGTATCTTTCCTTTTATCATGTTATATTTATAAGATTTGCAATAAATAAGAGCATCATCAATAAAATAAATTTTCATTGTTTGATCATTAAGTATAGAACTAATTGGTATTGAATCTCACTTGGAATAGTCCTTATTTGCTTCAAATCTACCATTCTATATTTTTCTTCTACATATAAAAGATTCTACAATTCTTCTAATTAATATGCTACTTCTATCTTATAAAAATATTTCATTAACTTTGATCAATAAGCTCATAATTCATTATGTTAAATTCACAAGATACCAATGTTTTAGTGAACTTTGTCTCTATGAATTAGTAGGGTTTGTAAATTGCTGTTTTATTTTCTAATCCTTCAAGAATTTTTATATTGCTCCATAATTTCCATGCATAAAGAACCATTATGTCTTTATCTTTAAATATCAAACACATTTTTCTAATTATAGATGATTTCACTATTAGAATATTCATCTTTTATACATCCATATGACTTATTAAACTAGAAGTCAACCTCTTTTCTTCTACCATAACTAATGTTATTATATATGTGAGATAATTTAAATCCATAGCTTGACCAATCAATATTATTTTTTTGAGGTTCTAAAATATCTTGTAAATATAAGATATTTGTTTAAAAATCCATGGAACTTTTTCTTTCATTAAAATAGACTCTACAATTTTTTCTAAGTTTGTATTTAAAACTAAGCAAAGTATATTATCTTTAAATGCATATGACTTAACTTAGCTAATAAGTCTAAATAATGCTCTATATTGTTGTATTGTAACATGGCTATTGGATTAAAAATAAAATAATAACACAAATAAAAATTAAGAAGATAGTAAAAAAAATTTAGTATTAATTTTACTTTTTTATAAAAATTAAAGTCTATCTACTTTATAAGGCTTAAAATAAGAAAAAAGAATAAATTTAGTAAAAATAATATTATGAGAATATTTAAGTAAAAATAAAGAGTAGCTTTCAAAAAAAATTACTTCAAAGAATTGATGTTAAAAAAGAATTGGTTGTGAGTTAGGATCAAATCTAGACCTTGAGGCATAAAATTGAGTATCTATGATAAATGTGGGGTTATTTTGTTAATGAAAGAGCGGAGTTGGAAAAAAGACTTAATAAAATAACTTTGAGCATTAATTTTGAAGGATTTGAATAGATAGTGGTGTTGTGAGAGGTTTGCAAAATTAGTAATATTTTGAATGAATGAATTTTTTTTAGAATATAAAATAATATCATATTTTAGTGAATTTTTTGAGAATTATAATAGACCTATGGTTGAACATTTGTGGATTTTTAAATACAATTTTAGTAGATGCATGTCAAAAAATTGAACTCAATCAAACAATTAGATCAAAGATTATTAAAATTTAAATAGATTAAGGTTTTAAATTTGGATTTTAAAGATAAGTGAAGGTTTTTATAAATTTGAGCAACTTACTAATTGGATTTAAATAATTTTTTAATAAAATTATAGTTAATTTTAATGTCTAAAATTTATGAATATTTTTAGAGCATTTAATGTTCAAAGATTGACATCAAGGTTGAAGAAAGAAAATGACAAACATTCAAGTGGAGTTTTTTCTTCCAATTTGTAAATTTAGTTTTCTTTAAATTTTGAATGTTTCTCTTTAAATTATAGATTTATAGGTTTAAATTTTTTAAATAAATAATTTAATTAATATTTTTTTGATATTTAAAATCTATTTTAGTATTTTTAGAGATTTTCTTAGAATATATTTAAGATTTAATTAGATTTTTATTGAATTTTTTTCTAATATACTTAAAATTTGACTATAATTTTAATAATTTTGTTAAGATTTTGTTAAAATTTGATTATGCTTTATTAGAATTTGTTTTAGGTTAAATTAATATTTGATTAGAATTTATTAAAATTTACTTAGAAATTGATTAGAATTTGATTATAAAATTTTAGGATTTATTCAAAATTTAATTAGAATTTAATTAAAGTTTATTTTGGATTTGATTAATATTTAATTAGAATTTGATTGAAATTTGATTAACATTTATCTAGGATTTGATTAAGATTTGATAAAAGTTTATTTGAGATTTTTTTAGGATTGTAAAGATTTGACTTGGATTTCTTTAAAGTTTCATTATGATTTCTTTAGATTCTTTTTTGGTTAACTAGGACTTCTTTAGTATTTTTAAGAATTTTTCAGGATTTATTAAAGCTAATTAGAGTGTAATAGGATACTCTTAGGATTTTCTAAGATTGATAAGATTTACTGAGTATATTTGGAAGTTTACTTAGATTGTTGCAAATTGTCAAAAGGTATTTTTTTAACACCTTATGTATTTCTTTGGAATCATGAATCTAACTTCAAGGTAAGAATAAATCCTTCTATAAGTAAATGCCTAATATATTTTTAAGTCTATTCTTACATAATATAATAACAATGTCTACAATAAATCTCACTTATTAAAGTCTTTCTTAAGTCAATAATTTTCATCATTTATAAGTCCTGCAAAGCAATAGATATTAGCCATATTACCAGTAAGAATTCAAATAAATCAAATTGATAGTTGAGCATTGTGTCCATTTCTTATTTTCTATTTTGGCCTATAAAAGATAGTCGTCATTCAAAAGTCTAAAGTAAAATCCATTGAGTACATCACTATAAC